AATGCACACTAAGAATGGATTTTTCGAAATTCCCCCGCTGGGGGGAGAGAGAGGACTTAGTCTTCATCGAGTACTTAGGTGTATTAAATTGATAACATTTCAGACATTGTTATAAATATTTTTATCTATTTCGATTTTAAAAATGTTCGAACCGTTTTAAATTCGAATTTGTTATTGCATATTGGTTCGATTATAGAACGATTGTAAACGTTTCAGAAAATTGATCAAATTGAAAATAGTTCGTTTGATTCTCGGCAATTCTCATCATTCTCAGCGGTAGGTGTTATATAACACCTACATCTGAGAATGATGACTACTATGGTTGTTGAAATACTGAATATAAATGGGGTTTGCTTGCAAAATCCGCGCGGGTAAAGCCGCGGGTAATAACTAGTAGAACATAAAACCAGTTGTTCTAAATGCTCGATAAAGTTTTGATTAGTGAAGTTACAACAGTTATAAGGAAATCAGTGTAAGTGTTAAATGGAGTGTTACGATAATTTAAATTTCGATCTCATTATTAGCATTCATTAATACATTAAATCATATATACAGTATATTTTAACGATTATAACGTTATTACAAAATATAATAAGCATACTTCTGTTGTACCTTTTAAAAAATTAAAACTTATTTACTAAAATTATATAAAAAGCCAAGACCAAATTATATTACTAGTCAAATAACAAGCCAGATTTGTTATCAGATTATTAGTGGCAATGCANTTTGATTAGTGAAGTTACAACAGTTATAAGGAAATCAGTGTAAGTGTTAAATGGAGTGTTACGATAATTTAAATTTCGATCTCATTATTAGCATTCATTAATACATTAAATCATATATACAGTATATTTTAACGATTATAACGTTATTACCAAATATAATAAGCATACTTCTGTTGTACCTTTTAAAAAATTACAACTTATTTACTAAAATTATATAAATATAAGCTTTAATTTCTTGGAGAAGTATCAATATATTCTATGTCTAACTTTTGAGTTTCATAATTTAACTGTCGAAATCTTTATTATTACTTGAAAATACCCTATTTTCTTCAGGTATTGTATATAATACTTTAATTAAACTTTTTATATAATGTATCAGTATTCATATTCACTTTATATGTGAATTTTCACGGAGACAAAATAAAACTTTAATTCATTATGGCTTGGAAACTTAAAAATGACGTTTTGAAGCACTCATTGTACTACGTCACAAGACCAGTTGTGACGTCTGTTAGGTGTCTAGGTGGCTGTGCCCCAACTTTTGCCTATGGTCACCATTCAGTATCCTTCCTTCAGCTCTCCGCCTTAGATATACACACAGAAAAAAGAATTATCTAAACCAATGGTTTCCAAAGTGGGAGCTACAGCCCCACTTTGGAAACCATTGGTTTAGATAATCCTTTTTTACAAATTATACATTTTCCAAAAATTTAATTTCCGTAATACAAAATGTTTTTGGAATAATTACATAATAATAACGAGCGAACTGGAAGTTCATATATAGTCAATCAGATTCTCTTGTCTTTAAGGTTTCTATATTTACTCTCGGATTTTATCTGTCTAATTCTATTCTTGCGATTAAGGAAAGACAGACGGACGGACGATAGTGAAAATTTATAAGTCTACAATTTTTTTTTCAAATTGCAGCTTAGTAATAATTTTAAAAAGCTTAATTTCTGTTAAAATACAATAAGTATAAAAAGGAGCGGTTACAAGCTCGGTATTTGCATATCTTTTAAAGAAGTTAGGATACAAAACTGATTATCAGAAACAATGTAGGTACTCTTATTAGAAAGACTTGTATGTAAAATAGTGCAAACACGCCAAATAATAGTCAGCAACTCTTCTTGAACTACAATGAAACAAAACGCCCGTAGCAGACCATTCTCGCAACTGTCATCACCCGTGCCGCTGTCAGTTTTATTTCAGGAGTTAGTATGTTTGTCTGTTAAAAACCTTACGGAGGGAATGGGATGATAGTAGAAAAATCAAAAATATCGTTATGTAATATATGAACAATCCCATCCATACATTAATTATTATAAACCCTTATAATTATTTATCTTTAACGAAAACAAGCACGATATATTAAATTATTTCATTTATCTAGTGGTTATGTAATTATTCTGTAGCTGTTAATAGAGAAAATGTTTTATTTTCATTTACAAAATTATTGCAAATTATTTTATCTTTGTTATGTTAATTCTTATACTATTTTTCTCCTCCAATACAGATTAAATAGAGGAAACGTGCTAAAATCCGTGCACAACACCGCCCAACACATCCTCCAGTATCCTCTAATCTTTGATTTAGTACTATATTAATTGAACTTCCGCCCAAAGGACAGGAAGGTTACAAGTCAAGAATAATATGGAGGTATTATAATCAGAACTTTTATAAACTCTTTCTCTCTCTCTCAACCTTTAGGGATTAGTTTAAGGTTTAGTCATTAAGGTTTAAGCATAGCTAGATTTATTCAGTTTGTTCATTTGTATTCTTTGTTTTTCATTAAAGTTTTTTGTTAATTTGCTGACTACACTGGATTCTACTTTCCTCGCGGACTCCTATCACTTACTCACGTGTCTCCCCATTAAAACGAGCCCTTCTAATCGAAATAGAAGTGAACGCGAGTTAGGGAGCGTATTCTAATTACCCTAGCTGGTGTCGGGAATCCTGATTAGACCGCATTATATGATCCTACGAATCCACCTTTTTAATAAACACTATTATCGCCATCCTTTGACTTTGAGGCTAATCTAACCCATTAGTTAGCCTATTAAGTGATACAAGAGTGCAATCCAAACCCTGCATCCCCGGCCGCCCTCACAGATGTAATATGATAATGCAACATGCCAAGGGAAAGATGTCTTCTAGATAACTATTATAGAAAATTGGATTGTATAATATACTTGTGGCCCAAAACTCCATGACAACTTGCAATGTGGCCCATAGAAACAAAAAGATTAGACACCCCTGCTATAGGGCAAAGTCTGTTACGAAATACAGACAGCTTTTCTCACTCTATAAACAGAAATAAACAGAAAGATAAACATCTTAACACAGTCTTGTGATAAATGTTTTGCTGTATAGAGGTTTGTAGTGTAATTTGTTTTGAAAATTCAAATTCTTCATAACTTTTCACTATTATTATTTTAATTACTAGTTCCAACTTTACTTTCGTAAATCATAATAATAAATAGTGAAAAATATTTTCGAATTTAACGAATACTTTAATGAATGAGCATTAAGAGAGACATTTAACAATCATCATAATTATCAGACAATCCGGATTGCTTATGCGGCTTGCAATGGATACTTTTAATCGCTTAATTAAAATCGCAAATAATTTATTATAATAAAGAAAAATGCCAGTTAATTTCTAAACAAATTGTAAATACAAATAACGAGAAAATATTCGTCAAATCTGACACCATTCGAGATAATCTTCCTAAATATCTTATCCAATTAACTTTTAATTCCAAAATTTAAAAGAATCCACGCCTCATTTACAGAAATAACCGTATCAACTATGAAAATTTTTAGTTTATCCAGTCCTGAGAAATAATGAAATCTGACCTCCCCACACAAGAAGAATTTTGTGAGAAGAATTCTTGCATTTTTGAGCTATTAGCATGCCAAATTTTTGAGGAAAAATAAAAACCAATGGGCCAAAATTTGAACAGTCGGCATACTTTCCTTATGTTTTATTTATAACATAATAGCCACATTTTCTGTATTCTAATATCCATTGTCAGCTCCAAATATGAATTTAAGGATATTTACAATCACACATAAACTTTGATATCTTTAGATGCGAGACTATAAGATGGGAAAGGATACAATTTTTTCAATACGAGGACATAACTCTGCCCTCTAACGTCAAAACCCGGTACTAAATAGTGAGGATTGCAAGTGACAACAAAGAAATTTCGTCTTGTTACTTTTCACTTGCTATCCTCGCTCCTTGTATTTAAAAATCCTTTAACTGAATAATTGGCATGAATAATAACATTTCAAAAAAAAAAAATTTTTATAGATAAGCTAATTTATGCGTATAGATCACTGTTTACCTCACTCTTCTATGCATTATCTATCTAACAGATTTTCATACTCGATTGTTCCAGTATTACGCGAATAAGTTCTTTATCAAGCAAGAATATAATAATCCTACGTGTTTGCTCAGAAATGCGCTTCATTACGGTGTGTATGACCGAAATGGACAATAGGTAAACAGAACAATTTTAAAATATAAAAATTTTAAAAAATAAAATATCATAGCAGATAATGCCACACGCAGTTTCAAATATTTGCCGGGAAAGTTAAATAACTCTTCGTTAAATTTTCTTATTATGAGCGCAGTTCGAACAAAGAAACATTCGGGTCGGATTTCTAGAAATGAAAAAGACCCCGTTGAGAGAAAATAGTACATCGGCCGAAATACTTGGAAAAGGTAGAAATCTACGAAGCCTTCGGGAGAGGAACGGCTTTTAACTTCTCAGGTGACAAGCCGTGGGGGGGGGCTTAAGCTGGCTTAATTCAATGCATCGTTCCTGACACCTGAAACTTTGCGCGTTCCGTCTGTAATTATAACACAAAACTCTGTTATTCCATTCATGTTCTGTCATCAGTCAAACCTGTAGAAATCAATTGCAAAGTGTTCAAACAAAATGACGAATGGAGAAAATGCAATTATAGTGTAATAGAAAAAAGTAAGTGGCCACGCTATGCAAATAGTGATGTTTATCAATTTACTCACATTCTTTTATCGCAATTAAAGTTATAGGTACAATATACATCGTTTGAATGTTTATTAAAAAGCATTGAAAGCGAAAACCAATGGTATATTTATGAATAACAATTGCTCGTAACAATGAACCTACGTAACAATTGCTCGTAACAATGAACCTATGAACAATCGGCGTTTGTTTTCGTTTGTTGTAATGCTGTGTTGTTTTCTTTCATATTAATACAATCGAACGAGAGGGTGAGACTAATATGGCTCCTCGACAAAATAATCGAAAGCATGCTAATTCCAAAAATCCTAAACGGAAAGTTCCGCAATTAGCTAAGAAATTGCGGAAAAAACGAAATGGTACCAAAAAAGAAGAGAAAGAAACCTACCTAAAGATGGCCGTCAAAGACAGAAAACGAGACTATGGACAGAAGAAAGCAAAGGCCCATCTAGATTCAGAAATGGTTTTGTCCAGCCGTGAAATAAGTGATTTCGATCGGTTTAAATTGTTATTCAAAGACAACGGCGTTGAAAACAAACAGTACAAGTATATAAATCTAAATAAGATACTTGAGTATAAATATCTGTTAACTCTGTTGTTTCTGAGAGTCGTATTCGACACTGAAGACGATTAATTCATTCGGAACCCAAGAATAATTGTAAAATTTTTCAAAATTATCAGATAAAATTTTTTTCGAATTATTAAAGTAAAGCAATTGTAGTTATTTTCTCTTCGTTGTTCTGTCACCTGCTTTAAGTGTCGTTCCTCGCTCGATCTTTCCGTAATGGGCGCAATTACAGGCATTAATTAACCTTAATATACGTTTTAAAAAAGTATTTTACATATTTAAATTTTGTACAAATACAGATTCTATTATTACTAAACGTTTGCAGAGGTAAATCACGTACTAAGAAACATGATGTCATTGCTATATCACATAATGTCTCCGATATTCAGCAGATAAAACGAAGGCTTACACAAATTATTGTGAAACGTCACAAATGCCATGTGACTATATGATCTTTGCCCAATTCGGCTGGCCTCTTCAGGATATTAGTAGAATGCTCTTGTTACATCTTCCTGTTCGAATGATCAGAATAGAGCAATTGTTTGTCTCGTTGTTTGCCTTGTTGGCTCTGGTCATCTGCCTACTGTGATTAGTTAATAACTCTTCCGGAGTAATGACATCATTAATCTACTCCTGCTCGATAGAGCATCCAGCCGAATTTTTCGTGTCCGGTGATGACGACATCCGGTTTATCGGGTTACCCATGATCATTTTGGTTCCTTGTACTATTATATATGTTCGCTCTTTCTCGCTCTCTCTCTCTCTGTACTGATACTGCGGAATAAACACGTGTAATACATGAGGTTTTTGGAAAGTTACATAGTTTTTAAATTTACAATGAGGACGATAACAGAGAGCAAGGGAATAATTTGGTTTTCGGGAAAAATGAAAAGGAGATAATGGCTATATACAAATTTCTATATACAAAACGCTCGTGGTTTGAGAACCAAGAAGGACAGTTTTGCTAGTAATATTTTGCAGGATCAATATGACATTGTACGTTTAACAGAAACTTGACTACACGGCTTGATTTCCTCTAATAAATATATATTTTTTCCTTCATATAAACTTTATAGAAAGAATAGAGTGGATACGTGTGATCTATTAGAAGGTGGTGTTTTAATTGCAGTGTCAAGTCACTTACTCGTTACTGAACTTGAGGTACAATATAAAGATCAGAATTATTCTACCCAGTAAAACGATATTAATTGGTAACCATTATTTTCATTCTGATACTTGCTAATCAATATTCTGAGGATTTGAATACATTCATGAAAGCTATAGATAAAATATTTATTCCTGTTGGTGATTTTAATCTCAATAATAATGATTTTATACACCAATTGAGGATCTCGTTGCGGGATCTTATGGTAATGGTCCAAATTGCAAAGATTTTTTTAATTTTAAGCGATTAAATTAGTATAATTTATGTAAAAATTTTTGTGAAATCTGTCTGCATTTAATTTGTTCGAATGAAACTATTCTTGTCGAGCAGTGTTATAATCTCTTAGTACCGATTAAAACGTTTTGCATGTATTTATACAATGTTATGTTCTGTCATGTTATGTTCTGTCATATCATGTTTAACTTTTTATATTGTATCTCTTTGCATCTTAAACAGACATGTAATTAGTGATTCCTGTAGATCAGTTTGGTAAATAAATAACTTTTTTAAATCCTTGTTGGCTCTGGTCATCCAGCTACACGGACAAAATGAGTATTTAAAATTACTGTTATCATTCAATTTAACTTTTATATTATATGCTACAGACTTTATATAAAGTAATCACAATGAATTATTTAATTTGTTATGTTTAAAACAGGCTATATATATTCCTACAAGTTTATACATTTCACTTTAATAGTGTATATTGTACTGAAATAAGTAACTATAATTAAGTCAAATTATTGAATTAAAAAATAAAAATATTCTATAATTACAATATATAAGAAAAAATTTTATAAAATAAATTGGTGACAATGATTAATTAATGTACGAAGACAGCGAAGACACAATTATACATTCGCTGAACTTATTAATTTATATTGATCGTTACTTAAGAGTTATGAAAAAGCAACATTTAAAACTGCGTGTGTGGCGCTATCTGTCGTAAATATTTTATTATTAAACATTTTTATTCATTATAACCGACCCTACCTGAGATAACACACATCATATATAATTTAATTGTCGAAATCTTTATTATTACTTGAAAATACCGTATTTTCTTCAGGCATTGTATGTAATACTTTAATTAAACTCTTTATAATGCCACGGCTCGCTTTTCTCACCGTGTCGTTCATTGGGTAGAGGTTAGCGGCTTCACCTACCGAGCGAAGGTCTCCGGTTGGAACCCCATTGATACAGGTGTTTTTTTCATCGGTACGTTCTCCCGGTCTGAGAACATATGTAAATACTAACAAATTATCATGTTTCTACTATGTCTCTGTAGTATATAACAGCGAGCTCTCAGGCTGAGAGCGGTTCTTGTTCTCGTACTGCAAGCTGCAGGAGTTGTACTGTACAGTACATTGTATGAGTGAATAAATACCTTTGTGTTCCTAACGACTCGTTGCCGTTTGTTCCCGCGACAATATAATATTAGTACTATTCTTCATATTCACTTTATATATTAATATTCACGGAGACAAAATAAAACTTTAATTCATTCTCGCTTGGAAACTTAAAAATGACGGTTTGAAGCACTCATTGTACTACGTCACTAGACCGGTTGTGACGTCTTGTAGGTGTCTAGGTAGTTGTGCCCCAACTTTTGCCTACCATTCAGTATCCTTTTTTCAGCCTTTCCCCTTAAGCTGTTATACACGTTGCGGAAATCCTCAAAGGATGTACTTAACAGACGAAAAAAAAAATCGGATATAACTGGCTGGATCGAACATAGTAATTTACAAAACTTATTAAAATATTTCCCAACGTATAAAGAATTATTTTTATTTAAAGGTGAATAGATAGAAAAAAAATCACGGTTAATCCTCAAAGGATTTCCGTAACGTGTATAACAGCCTTTAGATACACTAACCACCACAAGCGGCAGTAGAGCCCACTTTGGAAACCATTGGTTTAGATAATTCTTTTTAACAAATACATTTTCTAAAAATTTAAGTTCCTAATACAAGATGTTTTGGGAATAATTACATAATAATAACGAGAGAACTGGAAGTTCTTTCGTTATTATTATATATAATATATATATAGTCAATCGGGGCCTCTTGCCCCTAAGGTTTCCATATTTAGTGTCGGATTTCATCTCTCTAATTCTATTCTTGAAATTAAGGAAAAGCAGACAGACGGACGACAGTGGAAATTAATGTCTACAATTTTTTCAAATTGCAGCCCAATAATAATTTTAAAAAGCTTAATTTCTGTTAAAATACAATAAGGATAAAAAGGAGCGGTTACAAGCTCGGTATTTGCATATCTTTTAAAGAAATTAGGATACAAAACTGTTTCTATCTACATTGTTTCTGATGACTATCAGAAACAATGTAGATAGAACCTGTATGTGACCTGTATGTGAAATAGAAAGACCTGTATGTGAAATAGGGCAAACACGCCAAATAATAGTCAGCAAGTTTTAACACCAAATAGTCAGTAACTCTTCTTTAACTACAATGAAACAAAACGCCCATACCAGACCATCCTCCAGTAGCGTGCCATCATTGGAAGCAGTGGAAGCGCCGCTTCTCTAGTACTTTCTAAAAAATAAATACAGTATATATTCCGCGATTATTTTCATATTTTAACGTATTTTGGATTAATTAAAATTAATATTTTATTATAACCGCATTATGTATCTCATTACAAATTTCTATACTACACGTGAAAAAAAACGATAAGATTGCTATTCTATATTCGAATTTCAGTGGTGGAATGGAAGGACTGTATTGTCGAATAAGGGACAGCTTCCAAGCATCCAGATTATACGCATTCGCACACGCGCTTTACAGAGCCCCAACCTCACCCGGTTTAGCTGGTGGAAGCTACACACGTATAACGCTTTCAATGATTCTATCCAGGACCGGTTCTAGGCTGTTAGCCGCCTGCCCGCTAGATATTTGGCCGCCCTCGCCCCATTATGTGAATCATGAGTAGATTTATAACTTAACCGAACCAATAGGAATTTACTGGTATATTTTTATGATAATTCTGTATAGTTGACAGGAGTTTACAAAAATCCATTAAAATATTTGATATTTTTATTCTGCTCTCCCATCTTATATTACTTACGGATTTCAATGATAAACCAATGATATTACGATTTCGTATGTCCCATATATAAGGGAATGTATAAAAAAATATGTACAATTCTTGTACAATGTTAAAAAATTGACTGTTACTTTGTTAGCATCATTTACAACTAAATTTAATGAATGAGAGAGATGCTCGAGGTACAGAAAACGCTCTAGAATTTAGAATTTAGATAGTGTTAACGCTCTCCAGTTTAGATGCAATATTTAGTCCTTTTATTTGTAATTTCATTTATTTTTTGTTATTAAATTTTGTTATTCCTTTGTTAATCAAATGTGGTTGGTTCCGTTTATGAGACATCCTATTGATTTACCCATTCACTCCCCACCAATTAGTTTATTATCCTCCTTATTATTAATATTTTAAGGAGTGATAGCTCGCAATAATTTGACTATCTGGTGTCAGGGCCTGGCATAGGAGAAAGGTGATTTCGAGATTGTCTCTCTTCGCATTTTTCACTCATACAAAGCCATCCTTCGACAGAAGAGGGCTAGTCTCACGGACTTGCTGCCGATTAAGTGGTAAAGAGTACACTCCCAATTCTCTATCCCCGGCTAGCCCCTCACAAATTTGTAAACTTTTATTCCCATGTATTTAAATTTAAATGGGGCCTCCCTGAACACTGGAAGTTCGGTCCTGGGTTCGTGCCTCGCCAGGACGCGCTGGCCATGTGAGTTTTTCGGGTTTTTTCCTCGTCCTAACGCCTGA